CACGGCATTGGTTCTCTGAAAGAGCGCGCACGCAGCGCCGGGAATACGAAAAGGGGGGCCCCAGCTTCAAGCTCCCCCCCCTCGCTTCCAAAGGGTGGGGGAGGCCTCCGAAGTTACCCCCCCTCCCTTCTGTAAGGGTTCCTAAGCTAGGGGGGCCCAGGCAAACGGGGGAGGGGCGGGCTTCGAAGCTACCCCCCCCCCCCTTCCATTCCCGGAGCAGAAGGTCAAAGGGGGGAGGGGGGTTCGGAAGCTACCCCCCTCCTCCCTTCCTTGTCGGTTTGGACACAAGGGGGGGGCCCTGCTTCAAGCTACCTCCCCCCCCTCCCTTCCAAAAGGGGGAGGAGCTGCCGAAGCTACCCCCCAACCTCCCTTCTGTAAGGTTTTCTACGCTAGGGGGGCCCTGGCTAAAGGGGGTGGGGGGGTGGGGCTTCGAAGCTACACCCCCCTCCCTCCGTTTTCCGGAGCAGAAGGTGAGCCCGGGCTTCCCTTTCAAAGGAAGGGGGGGCTTCGGAGACTACCCCTTCCCCTCCTTGATTTTCTGGTCTGGGCACAGGGGGGAAGCAGCTTCAAGTTATTCCCCTCCCCTCTCTTTTGCAAAGGGTGGGGGGGGCTTCCGAAGCTACGCCCCCCTCTCTTCTAGGGCTCTGGCAAAATGGCGGAATCCCTGATGACAGGTGCGCACCGCAGCACTAGAGAACACACTGGAGAATGACGCCGACCCCTGGTTCGTTTTCTTGTTTTCTTGCTTTCTCGGCCCCTGATTCGTAGTCTCGTGTTTGATTCCTTTTTTACCGTTTTCTCAGTCCCTGGTTCGTTTCCTTGTTTTCTCGTGTTTTCGGCTCCTGGGTCGCGGTATCGTTTTCTCTGACCCTGGTTAGTGTTTTCGTTTTTTCGTTTTCACGGCGCCTGGGTCGTTGTCTTGTTTTCTCGGACCCTTGTTCGTTTTCTCGTTTTCTAGTTTTTTCGGCCCCTGAGTCGTGGTTTCGTTTTCTCGGACGCTGGTTAGTACTCTCGTTTTCTCGTTGTCTCGGCCCCCGGGTGGTGGTCTCGTTTTCTCTGACCCTGCTTCGTTTTCTCGTTTCCCTGTTTTCTCGGCTCCTGGGTCGTGGTCTCGTTTTCTCGAGCCAAGCGTTTTCTGGTGATCTCGGCCCTTGGGTCGTGGTTTCCTCGGACCCTGGTTCGTTTTCTCGTTTTCTCGTTTTCTCGGCCACTGGGTCGTGGGTCGTGTTCGCGTTTTCTCAGTTCCTCGGCCCCTGGGTCGTGGTCTCGATCTCGGGGCCTGTATTTTTCGTTTTCTCGGCCCCTGGGTCGTGGTCTTGCTTTCTCGGACCCTTGTTCGCTTTTTTCGTTTTCTTGTTTTCTCGGCCCCTGGTTCGTAGTCTCGTTTTCGGGGCCTGTTTTGTTCGTTTTCTCGGCCCCTGGGTCGTGGTCTTGTTTTCTCGGACCCTTGTTCGTTTTTTCGTTTTCTTGTTTTCTCGGCCCCTGGTTCGTAGTCTCGTTTTCTCGGGCACTGTTTTCCCGGCCCCTGGATCGTGGTCGTGTTTTCTCGGACCCTGGTTAGTTTTCGCGTTTTCTGTGCCCTTGGGTCGTGGTCTCGTTTTCTCCGGCGCTGGTTGGTGTTCTCGTTCTCTCGTTGTCTCGGCCCCTGGGTCGTGGTCTCGGTTTCTCGGGCCCTGGTTCGTTTTCTCGTTTTCTCGTTTTCTCGGTTTTTGTTTTCTTGCATTTTTTCGGGCCCTGGTTCGTGATTTCGTTTTCGCGTTTTCTCGGCCCCTGGGTCGTGGTGCCATTGATCGGTCCCTTGTTATCTTTATCGTCTTCCTGTGTTCTCGGCCCCTGGGTCGTGGTCTCGTTTTCTCTGACCCTGGTTCGTTCTTTGTTTTCTCTGCCCCTGGATCGTGGTCCCGTTTTCTCGGACCCTGGTTCGTTTTCTCGTGTTCTCCGCTTCTCGGCCCCTGGATTGTGGTTTTGTTTTCTCTGGCCCTGGTTCGTTATCTCGTTTTCTCATTTTCTCGGCCCCTGGGTCCTGGTCTCGTTTTCTCGCCCCTGGTTGGTTTTCTCGTTTTCTCGACCCCTGGGTCGTGGTCTCCAGTTCTCGGGCCCTGGTCCGTCCTCTCGTTTTCTCTACCCCTGGGTGTTTGTCTCGTTTTCTCGGCCCCTGGTTCGTTATCTTGCTTTCTGGTGTTCTCGGCCCTGGGGTCGTGGTCTCGTTTTCTCTGACCCTGATTCGTTGTCTTGTTTTCTTGCTTTATCGTATCCTGGGTCGTGGTTTGGCTGATTGAGTGGGTCGTGGATTTTATTTTCTCTGACCCTGGTTCGTTTCAAAGTTTTCTTGGTTTCTCGACCCCTGGGTCGTGGTATACATTTCTCGGACCCTGGTTTGTTTTATCGGTATCGCGTTGTCCCTGCCCCTTGGTCGTGGTCTCGGTTTCCCGGACCCCGTTTCGTTTTCTCGTTTTCTCGTTTTCTCGGCTCCTGGGTCGTGGTCTGATTTTCTCGGGCCCTGGTTCGTTTTCTCGTTATCTCTGCCTCTGGGTAGTGGTTTGGTGTTCTCGGGCCCTGGTTCGTTTTTCTCGTTTTCTCGTGTTCTCTGCCCCTGGGTCGTGGTCTGGTTTTCTCTGACCCTGGTTCGTTTCCTCGTTACCTCGTTTTCTGCCTCTGGGTCGTCGTTTCGTTTTCTCTGACCCTGGTTCGTGTTCTTGTTTCTTGTTTTCTCGGCCCCTGGGTCGTGGCCCAGTTTTCTCGGACCCTTGTTAATTTTATCGTTTTCTCGGCCCTTGGGCTGTGGCTTCCTTTTCTCGGACTCTGGTTTGTTCTCTCGCTTCCTCGTTTTCTCGGCCCCTGGTTCGTAGTCTCGTTTTCTCGGGCCCCGATTCCTTTTATCGGTTTCTCGTTTTCTGTGCCCCTGGGTCGTGCTCTCGTTTTCTAGGAGCGAGATTCGCGTTTTCTCTGCCTGGGTCCTGGTCTCGTTTGCTCGGACCTTGGTTTGTTTTCTCGTTCTCTCGTTTTCTCGGCCCTGGGTCGCAATCCCTTTTTCTCGGGCCTTGGTTCACTGTCTCGTTTTCTCGGAAGCTGGGTGTTTGTCTCGTTTTCTCTGGCCCTGGTTCGTTTTCTCGTTCTCTCATGTTCTCGGCCCTTGGGTCGTGCTCTCGCTTTCTCGGGCCCTGGTTCGTTATCTCGTTGTCTCGTGTTCTCGGCATTTGGGTCGTAGTTTCGTTTTCCCGGGCACTGGTGTGTTTTCGCGTTGTCTCGTGTTGTCGGCCCCTGGGTCGTTGTCTCGTTTTATCGGACCCTGGTTCGTTTTCGCGTTTTCTCTGCCCCTGGGTCGTGGTACAATTTTCGCGGACCCTGTTTCGTGTTTGCTGACTTTTGTTCGTTCTCTCGTTTTCTCGGCCCATCGGCCGTGGTCTCGTTTTGACCCTGCTTCGTTTCATCGTTTTCTCAGCCCCTGGGTCGTGGTTTCGTTTTCTCTGACCCTGGATCGTCGTCGTCGTCGGTAGTCGGTCGCGCGTCGTCCGTCGCCCGTCGCCGTCTTCGCATGACCTCGTCCTCGTCGTGACGACCACGACGAGGTCATACGAAGACGGCGGCAATGACGGCGAAAAGGACGACGAGGACGACGACGGCGTCGTACAAATACGTCGAGCGACGGCGACGGCAACGACGACGGCGACGGGGGAGGATTGTCCGGCAGAGGGAATTCAAGGGAGGGGGGCAGTACCTAAGCCGCCTTTCCTCCTTTTGGTGGGGGGGGTAGTTTCCTGCAGTGGAAAGAAGAGAAAATTGAGGAAGGGGGGCTTTCGCCAGAGGAAGGTCAAGAGAGGGAGGGATGTTGCTATGCTCCGCCTTCCCGTTTCGTAAGGTAAGGTGGGGGAGGGGGGGGGGGGGCTTCCCGGGTGCCGAAAGGGGGGGGGGCTGCTAAGTCCGCAATTCCCTTTGGAAGTAAAAGGGGGGAGGGGGGGGGGAGCTTCCTGCAGAGGAGGGTCAAGGGGAGGGGGGGAGGGGGTACCTAAGCCCCCCTCCTTCCCTTTCGCAAGGAGGGGAGAGGGGGGGTAGCCCGGGTGCCGAAAGTGGGAGGGGCGGGGCTGCTGAGAGCCCCCCCCCCCTAAGCCCCCCCCTTTGGAAGATAATGTGGGGAGGGGGGGGGAGCTTCGGCAGAGTGGGGTCAAGGGAAAGGGAGGGGTAGCTAAGAATCCCCCACCCTTTGCGTAAAGGGGTGGGGGGGGGGGAAAGGGGAGTGCAGCCGAGAAACCAACGCAGCAAGATGGCTGAGAGAAAGGAAAAAAAGATGACGGCCGACGACGGCGCCGACCCCAGACATCCGACGGCATGATTGATTTTGTGCGCGGCCCCTCGGTCCCGACCCCCTTCCACGGGGCGGTCCTTCGCCCTGGACCTCCCAGGGCCCGAAAGCGGGCCCCACAGGGCGAAATCTGGGCAAAACGCCCAAGTCGAACAGATCCGCCGACCCTTCGGCCTGTGTGAGACGCTGTCGTCGTCTTCGTCCTTGTCGTCATCCTCGTCGCCGGTCCCACGGAAAATAAGGCGACAAGGGGACCAGCCCCCTCCCCCCCCTCGGGGGGTCGCCAGCGGGGGTCCCGGCAGTGGTGGGGTGCGGTCCATAGACTACCGCCGTCACAGGAGTCCCGGCGGGTCCCGGAGGGGGTCTCTACCGGGGGTCCCGGGGGAGGTCACACCTTCAGGTTCGCGGGCAAAGGCCTTCACAATCACATTGTTCTCTATCCTCGATTCGGCGACTCCGAAGGGTGTGGCTTGCAAAGGGTGTGGTTTGCAACCGGCACCCTGGGGGGCGGGCGAGGACCTCGACAGAGCTCTTCGCCGCGCCCCGAGGAGGCCCGACGAAGACAACGTCGTGCTCCCAAGGCGCCGACGGTGCCGATCGCAAACCACACTCCGGTGTCACCAACCTCTCTGTAGTCAACGATCGGTCTTAGGCAACGATCCTCGATCCTGGGTCTTGGGCGACGACGGACGGCGTCGACCGCGACAGACGCACCGACGCCCCGGGCCATCTCGATCAGGTAAAGGGCCGCGTTGGTTCCGCAGGGAAGGGTGGACAGGTCGATGTCGAACGTGAACTCCTCGGGCCGCCGCCAGCTATAGAAAGACATTGGAAGAGGTCCAATTCAACTTCGAACAACTCGTATGGAGGACGTACAACGGTATCTCGACGATCAGCGCATATCCAAGAACTACGCGCGGACCGTCGAACGTCTACGCTTGTGCCTTTTTGTTAGCAGGGACCGACCGTCCTGGTATTCCTGTATCTTATAACCAAATGATAATATTCGAACACACAAAGCCAACGTTCTTCGAACATGAAACCGAAGTGTTAAACAACACGGTCTCAGCAAGACATGTTCTAAGAACATGTCGCATAAACCAACACAAATTTCTGATAACATTCTTCGTTGGGCCTATAGGAAAGTCAGTCAGGACGCCTCCTCACTGCTCGATGTTTCTTGAAAGTGAAGGAAGAGGAGATGGTGAGAAAAAGGGGAGTTGTTTGACATCCAAGGCCAAGGAGCCCACCTCCGTGAGGCCACAAGTTTCGACCGGGGGCCAACCTCGATGGGGCAGCACGGGCCCACCTCGAGGGTGGGCCAACGACACACCTCGGTGGAAGAGATGCCGTTCAATTTCGAAACACTAATGATTACTCTTTCGACCGCGAGGCCGCAGTGACTCAGCTCAGGCGATTGAGCTGGTAGAGGACTTGACTAGACGGCGAGGCAACCGATACATTTGTTGTGCTTTGCAGCCGAAGGGTCACGGTCCACTGGTGTGCAGCAAGTGCGAGGACCCTCACACCAGAACGAGGAACGATCTACATATGTGCAAGAGCGCGGTGAAGCAAACCAGTTCGATAGCTGATGAAGCAGAATGCTTATACCTGCACTCACCTGCTTATACCTGCTAATGACGCAGAGTGCTTATACCTGCACACTGAATGCTTGTACCTGCAGGGCCCCGGCAAGGCGCCAACGGCCACACTGGCAGCGGCCACGGCGGCTAGAGCGGCCGACGCTGCCTGAGCCGACCGCGACCACGACCACCCCCAACGGCCCGCCCCGGCAACCCCTTCCCCTTGACCCACCCAGACCACGACCTCGACCACCCCCGACAGCGACCACGACCGCGACCACAACCACAACCGACGACCCCCAGACCCATGACGACCCACGACGACCCCCCGACGGCCGCCGACGCCCCTCGCCCCCGCCGCCCCTCGCCCGCCCCCATCGTGCGCGCTTGCTTGCTGCTGCCTTTGCCGCCCCCCTCTCCTCCCGCATGTAGACGCCTGCTCGTTGTGTTTTTCCTCTCCCCCCTCTTCCTCGTCCTCTCTCCTCCTCTTCCTTCCTCTCCTCGCCCGAATCGGTGGCCCGTGTTTCTCCCACGATCGCCGGGCGGCTTCCGACCACAACCGCGGCTGCAGAGCTGCAGGCAGAGCTGTCGGCGCGCATTGGCGCACTGTGATCTGCCACGGTGAACCATCGTGGCAAGCCAGTAATGGAAAATGGGAGAATGTATTGCGCACAACGCTGTGAACTACCATGCGCGCGCCACGCGGCATACATCTGTAATGCCGTTCTCTAAACCTACCTACAAAATGGACAACATGGTAATGGCTCCGGTCCTCAGAAAAGATATCAAGACCTCAAGAATAATGAGTACGTCTAGCGTGTGATTGTGAACATCAAGCAAGTGCGAGCCCGTAAATCTATCGACCTCCTACCTGCTGATCAGCGCAAGATCACAGAACCCTGGCGCTGGTGCGGTTCTCCTCCACGTCGGGCTGCCCGATCTCCGTGGCCTGCACGCCAGGCACCGCCTCGCAGGGATCGGCCACCTTGCTCGCCATGACCTCCCGGGCGAGGCGGGCGCGCTGGCGCAGCAGGTAGAGCAGGGCCCCCGGCGCCGCCACGAGCAGCACCGCGACGGCCGCGGCGGCGGCGACCACCAGGGCGGACAGGGGACTGCCCGCCTCGGTCCCGCCCGCCAGGCCGTCCGCGGAGGGCTCCAGGTACTCGTACACCGCCTCGTAGGGGTCCGAGCCTTCGCCCACGTTGAGGTCCGGGTCGATCCCCCCTGGGCTGGACAGCTGCTCCACGGTCACCCCTCTACCTGCAGCAGCGCGGAGGCCGCGGGCGCCCCCAGCAGCAGCGCGCCGAGCAGGGGCCCGCCCACCTCGGCGGCCACGCGCCGGGTGGTCGCGGACACCTGCAGGAGCAGCACGCGTGGCTCCTGCTCCAGGCGCCTCCCAGCCGCCTCGACCCACTCCATGGACACGGCCGTGACCTCCTGGAAGGGCACGTCCAGCAGCCCCGCCGCCTCCAGGCGGACCGTGTGCAGGGTCTCGTTGGCCGCGTCCGCGCCGCAGAGGTCGGCGCAGCGAACGCCGAGCTCCCACTCCGCCCGGAAGCTGGCGGCCGCGTCGAGGACCTCCGCCCGCACGCACTGCCCGTGGGCCACGGCCACGGCGTCGCCGTCGGCGCATTCGTCGACACATGCATCCTCGTAGTGCGAGTAGTACTGGTTCTCCAAGAAGCAGCCGTAGACGGGGGAGTGCGTCAGCGCATCGAGGTCCAGGGCCTCCTTGGCGGCCTCTATCATCGGCGACAGCTCCAGCGACTGCGAATCCGCCGTCGACGTGGCGGCGGTTGTGGTGACCCCTCCCACCTCCACCGTGCTCTCTTCCGACTCCGAGCCGTCTTGGCCTGAGTGGTGACCTACGCCAACGTATGAATAGGGGTGAGGGATGGAGTACGTCACCTCGTCGGCCACCTCGTCCACCGATGTCGGGTCAGTCTGGCCAGCCTCATACGCCCTCGCAGAGGCCACCGAGATCCGGGAGTCCTGTGACTTGGTAAGGACCCACTGCTCACCGACGTCAAACAGCAGGGTGTCGGGGTGCATCCCGACGCTACCACCAGACTCGCTGTGGCATACCCGCAGGTAGGCGTGGGGCATCGTGACATAGGGGTGAATGATGTAGACGGCAGGGTGCCGAAAACGGATCGTGGCGAAGCCAGACTCGTTGACGGGCACGTTGCCGCCGTTAAACTCCACATCGTAGTACTTCGGGAAGGAGTCGGCAACGCCACTGTAGACGGACGCGTTCAGGGCGCTCTCGAGAGGGTCGTAGGACCGCAGGGACTCGTAGGGGGCCCAGAAGGTCAGGTGCACAGGCTCGCCAGGGGTCGAGGCGGGCAGGTTGCCTAGGACAACCATCCACGTCGGCATCCCCGGGGCCCTCGGAGAGGCGGCTGCTGCAGGTCTCCTCGGGCTCCAGGTAGCAGCCGAGGCCGCCGTGCGGGTACGCCCTGCCCTGGTCGCACCTGCCCCAGACGTGGTCCAGCTGCTGCGCCAGGGACTTGAGCCTGCGGCCGGTTGGCGGCGGCGTGCCCGTGGCGCGGAGCGCCAGCAGCGCGAGAGCCATCGGCGGCAGCCCCGCTCGGGCGGCCGACATCTCCAGTCTCCACAAAGGGGAGGCCGCGGCCAGTCCGACACGCATGGGGGACAGGCCCGAAACTTGACCCCAAATGGCCACGCAAGGCAACAACCGAGGCATGTCTTGGAAAGAACGCACCTGGGGAAGAGGAAGTGGTGAGAAGGGAACTGTTTTGACGTCCACTGCCAGGGACCCCACACCGATGGGGCAGAAAGCTCCGGCTCGCTCTGGATCTGCAGCTCCAGCGGGCCCCCGAGGGAGCGTCATCGGCCAGCGGCTCCCAAAAATGAGACTTCGGAGCGTGAGAAGAGGACTTGCCGGCAAGCTCTTCGCCCTCTGTCGCCGCCGCCGCCGCCTGCAACGCGCCTCCAGGACTGCCGAGTAGGGCGTCTACTACGTCTCCCAGGCGGCCAAGAGAACCCCAGAAGAGGAAAGGAAGCGGAGAGACAAGGGAGGAGGAGAAAGAGGAAGAGGAAGAGGAAGAGGGGGAGAAGCAGGAGGAGGAGGAACCGGTGGAGGTGAAGAGGCAGAAAGACTGCATCCTGTCTGCCCGATTGCCGGTCCAGCCCGTTTCCTGCCACTGTAAGCGCAGGGCCGAGGCGGAATGGGGGGAGCAGGGGCCGCAGCAACAGCGGCTGAACGGGCAGGCAGAGGAGGCAGACGGAGGAGAAGAGGGGCGGAGGGAGGAGGGGCGGGACGAGGGGGAACGAACGAACGGGAGGGCTGCGCGTGCCCCCTCCGGGGCGCGGGCCCGGGAGCTCCCGAAGAGCCCCAGCCCTGTGCCTCGCCGCCGCTTCTGCAGCACCGAAAACTGAAACAAAGCAGAAAGGGGGTGCGCCCACCCACCCCCCAGGCCCCCCCCCCCAGGAGTCCGAAGGCGAGCATTGTCTGCCGTCCATGCCCAGGCTCGGGGGGGTCCTTGTTTTTCAGCTGGAACATCAGGTACTCCTTGCCTGTGCCTGGCCGCACCCCCCTCGCGATCCTCCCTCTCCTCCTCCTCCTCCTCCTCCTCCTCCTCCTCCTCCTCCTCCTCCTCCTCCTCCTCCTCCTCCTCATCCAGCTCCTCCTGTTTCTCGTCCCCCTCCTCCTCCTCGTCCAGTTCCTCCTCCTCCTCCTCCTCCTCCTCCTCCTCCTCCTCCTCCTCCTCCTCCTCCTCCTCCTTTCAGCCTTTCAGCCTTTATGCCAACAGATCCCACGGCGTGAGACCAGCAGCAGAGGACGGGGGGGGTGGGTGTGAGGTCGGAGCAACCCACATCATCGCTTGATGGGGATGCTGCGACCAAAGAATCGTCTGGCGCTGGGGTCGATACCTCTCTTGAGGAGGTCCAGGGAGGTAGCCGCACTCCTGTTCTCGGGGTGCCCCAAACAGGGCTCCCCAAGACCAATAGTCTTGGTCCTCCCAAAACGCCCGCACCAGACACACCAGTACATTCGAGAGCCTGCATATTTTTCAATCCCACCCCAGAGCGTGTGGCTGGAATGGGTTTGTCTGACAATACGAGGCAAGCCCGTGCACGGGCTAAGGGCTAGGGCCGTATAAGACCGCTCCCGAGAGAAACAAATTCGGCACGAAAAACCTTTCCCACAGTGCCTAACCACATGACGATTGGGGTCAGGCACAATGAGAATGTCAGAGGGTTTGCAACGGCCCTTGACTCTTACTAATTCTACATCCTTCATGCCACTACGAGACAGATGGCCAAGCACATGCCCTGTGTACAACGCAAGAGAAGTGAGCCGCTCGGCCTGCTTCTCCTCCTGCTGCTGGAAGGAATGACTGTGGGGCACATTTGATGCGGCCTGGCGGGCGAGGAAGTCGCAGGCCTGGTTCCCGTGCCAGGCCCACGCAGGGCAGCCGAGGGCGGTCGCCCTTCGCCACGACTTGTGCGCAGGGACCTTGAACAAGGCCGTCTGGCCTTCCCCGCGGTCACGAACTCTAGCCAGAACTTCCTCCCAGTATTCGCCGAAGGGGATGTTCATTACATTCTGATGAGGACCTCGGGCCCAGACATCGAGAAGCGACTGGCAGTCCACCCCAAGAAGAATTTCCCCTGGGCCCGAGTGACTCAAAATCATGAGCACAGCATATATTTCAGCACCATCTATATCCCGAAGGGGGTGGGGCAAAGGGCCGTGGGCACTAGCAAGGAAATCTCCTGCCTCGCTGACCATCGTGAAAGCCCAGCCTGCTCTACTAAAACGCCGAAACTTGGGCTCCAAAGCCGAGCCGTCAGAACACATTTTTCCGTGGGCGAAACCATCAGGCGGCGGGATGACCCACTTCCACCTGTCCAGGGCCTTGGGCACAGGGGAGAGCCTGACGGGGGAGGGTAAGAGGCAGCGAGTGAGGAAGGGGTCGCCAGGCTCCCCTTGCTCCCAATCAGGCAGGTCCCTCCAGAACCCTAAATCACGTCTGTACTGTTTGGTCCCTGGACAACCAAACAACCTATGACCTCGGTCGCCCCTAGGAAAACCACACAGCTGGCAAGCCCCCGTCAGAACACGTCGATCCTGGAAAAGCTCCTCCTGAGTAACCATTCCTCCAGATACGTGAGTTGATAACAAAGCTGCTTCCAAATTCAAGCCTCGGACCCTGAACTGCTCGCACACCTGGGCAACAACGCCGAGCTGGGGGGCCGTGAAGGTCTGGCCGTTAAACTCCCAAATTAGACTCTGCCCAAGTTGATCCTTAGTGCCAATCTCGATAAGGGTTCGGAGGCTACTGGTCCTTAGCAGGGTTAAGTCGACGGGCATCCCAGTCGGCATCCTCCACAGCGTTGAACTCTCAGGGGACCACCCGAGACGCCCCAAGGTACAAATAACCGCCCCAGCTGGCCCCCGAACGTCAACCCACCTTAGGTCCTCCTTCTGCAGATACCACTGGAACACCACAGACATTTGCTGAGGAGAAGCCCAATTGCCCCACAAGGCCTTGCCCCATAAGAGTAACGGCTGGGCGTTGGCAACATACATAGGATCAACTTTAGGATTTCCTGATAACATAAATTGCACTGTCCTCGATCGTCCGCGTGCAGGCCCAAATATACCTTCCGCCACCGCGCAGCGTAAAGTTTGGAGCCTTCGGGAAGCAACGCCTGTGACACCTATTCCATAGCTGGCAGCAGGTAGGGCTCCAACACGAGAAACCGTTGTGAAATTCTTGAACTGCGATCTCAAACCTCGAAACCGACCCGCACGACTTCGAATATTGGCGATCCTGGCTTTCTGGATTCGAGCAGAACGAACACCTCCGACCGAGAAATCAACTCCCATATTTTTAACAGCATGAGATGACCTGAAGCCCCACTGCTTAAGACCAACACAAACTTCTTTGACTAGGGCCGCGGTGCTGGCAACCGTCTGGCCCTTCGTGCGAGAGATGACGAGCTGGGCAGCCTCTAGCTTCCTGCAGAGCGCCTGGGTGGCCTTGACGGCCGTCGACTTGGCGAAGGAATCGGTAGCGACAACCTGGACCGTGATATCGTCGACGACGTTGCATAGACGACAAAGACGGAAAGCTCGTGAAATCTCGTCCAACTCTCGAAGGATCATGAGACGAAGCAGTGTTGTCGCATACCCGCATCCCGCCAAAATGGTCGAGTACACAACAGTGGGCCTCGAGACCCATAAACCGATGAGGGGCATTCTGGGACAGCAATAGACCGCCAGGCACAAACGCAAGTGAAACAAAGGAAACTCGAGCTCCCGTGCCTTCGTGACCAGCTTATGATGACGAACTTTATCATACGCTTTTGTCAAATCGATGAAATTGTTGACAATAGAAAACCTGTTTAAGCTAGCATGCTCAGCCGTGAACGCTTGCTCCCACACAGCTCGCTCACATGCCCTACCCTTGGATCCGTTGATGTAGCTTCGTTCATGCTTCTGCTCCCAGTTTGACGCTATATATCTAGTACATTTACTCCAAAGCCTAACAGTCATACTGAGCAAGGCTATCAGACGATGTCCATCATCATCAGGTGTAGGTCGCGCTGGCTGTAGAGTTAAGCTTATCTGGGATGGCAAAGTTCCTTGTTGCAACATCCATGCCCAAACCAAATTTAACGCTTCCAGACATTCATCAGATAGGAGGAGAAAGTCACGAGGTCCTAATCTGTCAATGCCGTGGGCCGTCCAAGCCTTCATCTTGCTCGCCACCTTGCGGATCTCCGAAGGTGAAAAATGGCGAACAGGGCACTGCTGATCCTGCAGGAGTCCTCGAAGATCTTCAAAAACCCGATCTGGATCCTGGAGCGGCCTTGAACTGGGTCCTTCCGAACCCCAAACAGCTTCCCAGCCATGGAGGCTTTGCTCGATAAGCTCTGCAGGCCCTGGGGGGGGTTCTCCTTTACGAGGTGCCACGGGGCGCCAACCGAGAGGATGCCGAGTATACTGATGAGCTTTACCTCCTCCTGCCTGCGCAGCCTGCTGTACAAATCCTCTCCACTGTCGGGCTCGGCTGGATGCAAATCTGGATTCAAGCTTCTTGGCGTGGCCTCCAGCCGTCTCATGCAAGTCCATGAGGGCCTCGGAATCACACCATGATAAATAATCTGGGGTGAGGTACCACATGCCCTTCCACTCCTCGCTGTTGCGCAGCGAGGGAGTGCCGAGAAGGATCTTCGCGAAGAGGGCTGCTGCTCCGACAGTGTCCTTGGCAGACTCCTGAGACCTAAGACGAGCCAGCTCCTGACACCAATTACTCCACCTCCTCCAATCCCTGCTCAACGGACATGCTACAGGATATGGCCCAGACGCTTGGGGGAGGGCAGGGACCTGTTTAACTTTCCACCCATGTCCTCGTCCTGTGAAGCGGGACATCTCAGATTCAGAAATACCATGAGCCGCGATCAGCTCCTCCTCCAACAAACCCATGAACTTCCCAAAGCCTACGTCGAGGTCCTCCAGGGTACCCTGGTTCTCAAGGAAGGTGAAACCCTGAGCCCAACCACGAGGAGGTCCTGGAACGGGTCCAAGTGGGCGCCCCTTGGGGAACTTCTTGGGGGCCTTGAGCACGGTCATCATCTGCAGTATCGGTTTGCTTCTCATCACAAGTTTGACGGGCCGATGAGGCTTCAAGTGGGATCCAAGAGAAACCTGGCACGACACAACCGAGGGGGCTAAAGCTTCTGAGACCACGAAATAGTCGAGGGTTCTCCATTCACGCTTCCCAGAAGTACAGGTTGGCAACGACGGCGAGATTATCCTACCACCCAGTCTGCTAGGCCACCCGAGCCGTCCCAACAGCGCCGGTGGAGCATTCCAATCGCCGCCAATCAAAAAAGCCAATCCTGCTGAGTGAAGTGCTTCACCCAATCTACTGAGCAGCAGCGTACCCTCGGGACCGAAGGGATCGGTCGTGGGTAGGTACAGGGAAACCACCAAGACACCTCCTGGAAGAAACGCATTGACCCACCTGATCAAAACTCTGTGGGGTGACGGCAACGCCTGGGGCAACTCTGGAGGTCTTCCCATTCCAATACAAGCTGGCACTCCTATAGCAACCCCTCCAGAGAGCCCCCCTGCTTCAGTTTCCCTGGACGGCGCCACCGACGTGAGAAGGCCCTGGTCCCTGAACATCTTCTCACGAACGATCTGCTCGGATGGTCGAACTCCGAGCTCCTGAAAAAGATAAATATGCGGGCCAGGGAGGGTTGAAAAAGTACTTGAAGTCCCTTTGCCTGTCGGTGCCTCATGCAAACGCCTGGCGGAACTTAGCATCCTGGCGGCGCTGCTTGGCCTTGGTCTCAACAAAAGAAATACACGGCCCCCAGCTGGTAGTGTTGGCCGTCCAAACAGTAATCATAATGCTAAACAGACTGCTTGGCACCACCACCCTTGCCGTCAACTTTGCATTCCTGGCCTTTGCCTTTGGCCTTGGCTGCCGCCTTGGCCTTGTTGTAGACTTCGTCGATCTTTTCAGGTGACACCTGAGCAGGCCGTCCTGGAGTCTCCGAGT